GCTGTGATGCTGGGAACCCGGGGAGCCGGCAGGATGGCAGGAAGGAGAGGTATGTGTGTCCCTGGCCCTGAGCGCAGGGGCCGGCTGGGCGGAGGGGCCGAGAGTGCGGGGGTGTGGTTTAGCTCGTTCTCATCACATGATGTTTGTGCCTGGGCCTGGAGGTGTAGTTATTTGTGTGTGTATGTGTGTCTCATTGTGTCTCAGCTGTGTGTGAGTGTGTCCCTGGGCGTGTATCCTCTCGTGTCTCCCTGTGGGTGCCGTGTGTGCGCGTGCACGTGTGTGTGCATGTGTGTGTGTGTGTGTGTGTGTGTGTGTGTGTGTGTGTGGTTTCAGCCTCCTACCCTTTGATCCTTGGCCCTGACATAGGACCCTGGGCAGCTCACTGAGCCAGGCGGGGCCAGGGCCACAAGGCTGCCGTCCCCAGGGGCTGCCTCCTTTTTTGGCTGGGCCTGGTGCTGGCCTTGTCACTCCTCAGCAATGCCCTGTCGGCCTCAGCTCCAGGACCCAGTTCAAGGCCCTGGGGTAGCAAAAAGTGACCGAAGGCGCCTCACCAGCCTGGCCCCGAGGGAGCAGGATGGGCCCGTACTCCTTCGCTCCTGTGGCTCAGAGCCAGCCCCTCACTCCCCACTCTGGGGACCCTCCCAACCTCCACCCTTGCAGACCCCCCCCCGACACGCCCCTTAGCTGGCTTTCTTGTCTGTTGCCTGCCACCTTGACTGGTCTCTGCTGGGGTTTCCCAGCCCCACCCGAGGGGCTGCGGGCATCACTGGACATGGGAGCAGGGAGGCTGCAGAGGCCGGGACAGGGGAGGCCCCAGGAGGCAGAGGTTGGAGTGCCCTGGCGAAGGCAGTCCTTCCAGGAGCCTCCGAGGAACCCCTGCCCTCCCTCGAGTTGGAGCTCGTGCTGCCTGCTCTCTTCCAGGGGCCTCTTCCCTCTTTGTCCTCCTCCCAGCTCTCCTTAGAACGTGCCCTTCCGCACCACCCACTCAGGACTCCCCCTGCTTAGACTCTCTCTCTTCAGTTTCCTTCTGGCGCTCTTGACCCCCTGGGGCTGCTTTGGCCCTGCTCTGTGGGACCTGTCCAGCTCTCTCACCTGTCTCTGTCTCCGTCTCCGGCCAGGCCTACTCCCAGGACGCTTACCTGAAGGGGAACGAGCCCTATTCTGGAGAGGCCCGCAGCATCCCAGAGCCACCCCCGATCTGCTACCCTCGCAAGACCTACGCCCCGCCAGCCCGGGTCCCCTGGGCCACTATGGTGCCTGAGCCCATCTCAGCACTGCCCAGTGACCCCCGGAGTCCTGCTGCCTGGAGGGACCCCGGGCCCCGCGCCCCGTCTGCCGCCCGTGCACATCTGGACAACTCTTCCTTGGGGATGAGCCAGCCCCGCCCCAGCCCTGGTGCCTTCCCCCACCTCCCCCCAGAGCCCCGGACGCCTCGTGCCTTCCCGGAGCCTGGCAGCCGGGTACCTCCCAGCAGACTGGAGTGCCAGCAGGCCTTGTCACACTGGCTGTCGAACCAGGTCCCCCGCAGGGGGGGGGAGAGACGGTGCCCGGCCATGCCTCCTCGGGCCCGCAGCGCCTCCCAGGACCGGCTGGAGGACGTGACTGCCCAGCGCCCATGGCCCTGCTCCACCTCCCAGGATGCCTTGAGCCAGCTGGGCCAGGAGGGCTGGCACCGAGCTCGCTCAGACGACTACCTGAGCCGGGCCACCCGCTCAGCCGAGGCCCTGGGGCCAGGGGCACTGGTGTCACCCCGCTTTGAGCGCTGCGGCTGGGCTTCACAGCGTTCCTCTGCCCGCACGCCTGCCTGCCCGCCACGGGACCTGCCGGGGCCCCAGGCCCCACCCCCACCTGGCCTGCAGGGCCTAGACGACCTTGGCTACATTGGGTACCGGAGCTATAGCCCGTCATTCCAGCGCCGGACTGGCCTCCTGCACGCACTCTCCTTCCGGGACTCCCCCTTTGGGGGGCTGCCCACCTTCAGCTTGGCCCAGTCCTCTGCACCATTCCCACCGGAAGCCTCCGAACCACCCAGAGTGGTCCGGCCGGAACCCAGTCCCCGGGCCCTGGAGCCTCCCACCGAGGAGCGCCGTGATGAGGTGGTCCTGAGGCAGAAGCCTCCGACGGGCCGCAAGGCCCAGCTGACCCCTGCACGACAGATGAACCTTGGATTTGGTGACGAATCCTCAGAGCCCGAAGCCAGTGGGCGAGGGGAACGCCTGGGCAGGAAGGTGACCCCTTTGGCCACCACCGAAGACTCTCTGGCTTCCATTCCCTTCATTGGTGAGTGAGGGTGCCGCTGTCTGAGGACATGGTAGTCTGCGCCCGGTTGTACCCCACCCCCTGGGTGCCGTGGGTGCCAACAAGACCACCTTGTGTCTCTGTCTGTCCATCAGTCATCCCATCTGCCATCCTTTCTCCCATCTTCCTCCCACTCGTCTCTTTCCAGCCTTCTTTCTATCCATTTATCCTTTGTCCATTCATTTGTTCCTTCCTTGTCATCCGTCGTCCCTTCCGTTCACCCTTCCTCCCATCCTCTACTCTCTCTCCTTGTACCTTTCACACTCCGTGCCTCCCTCTGTCCCTTCACCCACCTAACAGATTACTCGTCGGGCATCGTGCTGGGCTCCATGCTGTCCTGGGGCGTGGGCCCAGAGGGGGCTAGACAGTGGACAGAGCGATCTGGTGGGACGGGTGTGCGGCGGGAGTGCTGAGAGCACAGGGAAGGGCCGAGTAACCCAGACTGGGCGTGGTGGCCATGGACAGATGCTAGGAGAGAGGAGGTTTCAGCTAAGACGTTGAGGATGAGAAGGAGCTGGTCAGGGGAAGGTTTGGGGAGACAGAGCAGAATATGCAAAGATCCTGACGCGAGAGAGGCAGATACCCTTCCAGGTCCAAGGGGTCTCAGTGGTCACCAGGGGCTGGCCTTTGTCCTGGGAGCAGAGGGAGCTATGGGAGGCTTGCCTTTATCGTGGACATAGGACAATGCAGGGGGGTGGGGAGGCGGGGGAGAGTCCCAGGTTTCTGGCCTGGCTAGAGGGTGGTGCGTCACTCCTGTAATGGGAACGAGAAGGGGTGGGGCGGGAAGAGCAGAAAAAAGCTTAGGGCTTCTTAAAAGCGGGCACCCGGAAGGGAGCCTTGGCTGGGCTGGTCTAGGGGCCTGGGAGAAGGACAGATGCAAATTCATGGGGCTGGGTGCCAGGGGCTGCGGGATAGTACCGAGGTGGTCGAGGTGGTCGTGAGCTCACCCCAGGGCAGTCTGTGCAGTGAGGGAGAAGAGGCCTGGGGCAGGCCTGCCCTGGCTTGCTTAAGCCCCCGACTGGCAGAGGTGTCGGGTGGAGATGAAGTCTCTACTTTCAGAGTCCTCTCTCTGTGGAAGGGAGATGTATTGCCTGTGCTCAGGAGCCCCCAGCCTTATGGGAGGACAGTCCCTGTGCTCAGGAGCCCCCAGCCTTATGGGAGGACAGTCCCTGTGCTCAGGAGCACCCAGCGTGATGGGGAAGATATATCCCCACACTCCGGTCTGAGGGTGGGCCCCATTCCCAGGTGCCTTCAGTGTGATGGGGGCCGCAGACCTGGCGCAGTCTGGGCTTCGGGCACACTTGGCAGTGGGTGTTGCCAGCAGGGCCCCTCGAAGATCCCTGGGATAGGGGTGAGCCAGAGGTGAGGGGCATGGGCCTCAGGGTAGGGAGGGCAGGCAGGTTGGGCCTCCTGCCCCTTCTCACCTCCTTGCGCACTCACAGATGAGCCCACCAGCCCCAGCATCGACCTCCAAGCCAAGCACGTCCCTGCCTCCGCTGTGGTCTCCAGTGCCATGAACTCGGCTCCTGTCCTGGGCACCAGCCCGTCCTCCCCAACCTTCACCTTTGCCCTGGGCCGGCATTACTCACAGGACTGCAGTGAGTGCCCCAGCCTCGGCCCCACCCCACCCTCTGCCTGCTCCCCGGGCCTCCACTGGGCCTCCACTGGGCCTGCTGCCTGGTTTCTGCTCCTCCCAGGGTTCCCCGGGGAGTGTCACCTCTTGTCCCTGCCTGGGAGGGAGGGCTCGGGGGAGCCCCAGACCTGCCGCCCCCTGACCCGAGCCCACTGCGGCGGCTCTGCAGGTAGCATCAAGGCTGGCCGGCGC